TATACCAAACATTATACAAAAAAACAAGAGAAAAACTAGAAAACAATACATATTACAATGTTCTAGTTGCGTGAATAAATTACAAAACAAGACATGTGACTTTGACGCTTCAGTCACAAAGGACAATACAAAAGAAAACGTTGTTCCATAAATGTATGTACGTAAAATAGCAATATTAAATACTGTCAACACTTTGATCAATTTCTGAGCACAATGAAATAACTACAAGAACGTTTACAAAGACTTGACGTGCACTGAACATCGAATATCATCGTCATCAAAATCAATATCCTACTAGGGGTTTCCTCTACAAAAGTGGGGTTTGTCGTGATCTACAAACTTGACAAGAAGGTTGTAGATCGCAGTTTAAATGTGTTCCCTAAGGGTTATATTTTACCAAAACACCATGGCAGCCGGACTAGCGGTTGATTGAGTAGCATAGCACACCATACAGCGCTATTGTAATTAGTGGTGGCGCGACCGGTAACATTCTGTGCTGGCGTCCGAACTGGTCGCACCACCATTTCGGTTGCGGAACCAAACGCATACCAGGAGGTCTACTCTGATTCGACGAAAAACGAAGTTTCGGACGAAACTTCGAACATTATCTACCACAATGGCATTTGTTACGAACGAAAAAGGAATGAAACAAGTCAGAAATTAGTATGAGATGTACTGTTTGACGTCGATATTTTCGGAACCCTACTCTAATTGTACAATCCGCACGAACGAAAATTCGAGTTTGACAGATTATTCTTCGGACGTTCAATGTCATTTCGACGAAACCAAAATAGTTATCGTTTGATTTTCGTTTGAGTTAAATTTATTGAAAAATGAAGGAAAGTAATTATAAGTCTTCGTTTTGTCACGGTTTCTTTGTTTGGGCAACACGTGTTCCGCGCGCGCCTCAAAGAGCCATCAGACCACCACAGATGGGGCCCAATAGGGCCGATGCCGATTCGGAGTCGCGGAGAACCTAACGGGTAACCGGGGCTCCGGCTCGACGTGCAGGAGAAGGAACGGGGTGGTTTTTAGTCAGTAAGAGTCTGACACTCCCTCCCGCCTCACCCAGGCGGGGGCAGTCATTCGATGATTTTCCCCCCTTAAAAAAAAAAAAAAAAAAAGGGCACCAAAGGAACTAAAAAAAAAAAAAAAAAAAATCAATGTACAGTCAGCTCAAATAGTTTGTTAACACGAACCTATATATTTTACATGTCTATGAGAGTTAGTAACATTTAGGGTAATCAAATACTTATTTGAATACCTTATGTAGTGTACATAAATGTTTCATGTGTAATGTTTTATTTTAAAACTAATAATACTGCTTGAAAAATTAACTTAAGTATTGCTAATATATATTTTCGCTATTCTTTCACATCTATTAATATACCAATATTTATAGATAAGATAAATTATTTCAAAAATATATTGTTAATCATCATAACACGAAATAATTTAGTCTCTTCAAATTCTAATGTAGACATTTATAATTTTTAAACTGACTGTACTAATATAATACGAATAAATTTGGTTGTCATTATTTTATACATAAATGTCAATAAATGACAATAAAACAACATTCTAAAACTTTTTAATTTGGTCGTATAATAAATTTCTGAAAGGAGGTTTTATCCTGTTTAAGATTCTCCATCTTAAACGTTAATATTAAAAGATTATTCATGATTTTCTTGATAATTATGTGTGCTAAGCCATGGCATTATTATTTTAGTAATATAATTACTTAAAATAAAATTTTATATTTAATTTTGAATCTAAACCTACTTATTGCATATTTATTTATCTTCACTTCATTCGTTCATTGTAGTTCACGAAAGTTGTCTATGGTTCCGAAAACGTTGTTTGCCGCCGCAAATCAAACGAAACTTCGCATTCGAGAACCGGAGTAGACCTACAGGTGACTAAAAACCATCGCACGGCTCCAACCCAGCAACGTCATTGTCATTTGACTTTAAATCCTATGTTGTATGATATATTTCATAACGCCGATATAAAAAAACCCTGGAAGCGAGCCGCCCGCGCGCACAAAAAAAACCGACGGTGCACTTACAACTTTTTTTAAGTTTTCGTAATTTTTCCTAAGCCAAAACGCGGTGTCGGAGCCGTGCCGGAGCCGTGCTTGAGCTTACTTTACGTGGTGCGTTAGACAGCAGACGCGTTAGAAGACTCTTACAATACCCACGGGAAGTATACACGTGGTGACATACGTAGTATTTTGTTCTGACGTCACGACACTCCCCTCGGAAGTGCTTAGAACTAACCCATTATGCTGTCTACTAGGGTAATTGGCATAATATAACCATGTAACAAGATTCGTTAGGTACATTAAGGTAATTTTATTCAAAATGGGCGTTAACTCTCCGCCTTGAAGTTGAGCAATGTTTATTACCAATTAAAGTCAGAGTCTGAATATAAAGGAATACCTTTGTGTAACAGTCAAATACGAGCTTCTCTACATCCTTGGCTACTGAGAACTGAGAATTGTGAATTGAAAAAGTAACTGGGAAACTGGTCTGATGACATTATTCAAGTTTTTATATAACTTTTATTGAAGTGTTATTATGAAATATCATTTTTCTAAAATTACTACAACCAGCAGCCGTAGCCAAATGCCATTTAGCGCTTGTCTACATGTAGAATAGAAAACCAATTGTATGAGATTGACGTAATTTTGACACTTGTCAGTGTCATCCCCATACATTTACTTTTCTACTCTATCTGTAGACAAGCGCTAAAGTGGCGTTTGGCTAAGGGCACAGGTTACAATTTACACAAACAAATACGATTTCATTTCCCGATTAGCTCGTGAATAACATACAAAGACCAATACAAAGAAATGTATTTAAATTATTATATTAACTTTATGCGGAAGATTAATTCATAGTAACATAGAACTAACTACAAACAATGAAGTTGGCAATTTCAAATTGTAGAAACATTAATGTACTGTGATAGTGTGTTCTCTCTGAATTGTTTACACACTCAATGATGAGTGAGGCTTCCAACTTCTTGGAATGAGGAACTTGTTTCAGTTCAATTACAGACTATCATGAACACAATATTAGAAGTACCTTCACATATACTAATATTACAAACGCGACTGTTTATTACCACTTTACGCTGTCGGCTTAACAAATCCCCTTGAAATTTTGCATATTATTATAGTTGAGAGTCCAAAGAATGTTTGTATGGATGATGCCACGGGTATTTTTATGTCAGCTTTATATGTGCAATAGGAATGATGACAGGGTATGAAAAATAAAAATTCCGCCAGTTAGGTATTGAAAAAATATTAGACACGTATTTTTTTATTTTGTCGTACCTATAAGAAAATAATACTCAGATAAAACGAATCAATATTTTAGGAATGGAAGCTAGCTACGTCAATTTAGAGTATAAATCGTATTCAAAAGTGACGTCATGCATTATTTCAAATCAATACATCTTCGGAACTATTCGTTTCTAAGAAAATAAAAAAGACGTGTCTAATGTTTTTAAATAATCTACCAGACGGACATAAAAATTAGTCATCTACCCTATTCCACGATTAAACGCTAGTATTCTACTATAATAAATAATATTTGATTTTCAAAAGTATTTCAAAAGGTTTTTTAGGGAACAGAGAGTATAGTTCCCTAAGATCGGAAAAGGAGGATCCTCCGACCAGGCGAGGTGATCGTGCCTGGCGGGCTTTCTGCCCAACAGTTGTTCGTTGGGATTTTCTATCCGTGTTAAATCCAATGTAAACTTCGCATGTGCGATGTAGGATTTTTATGACGTCATCCGTTAGAATGTACCATGTGTCGCCACATCACTCCCTCCCAAGACCGAAGGTCGATCCCGCTGAGACGGCTGTCGATGCTTGAGATGTGCGGTGCCAGAGCCAGTGTAGAAAGTCCCTAGTTCCAGTGAGTCGGAACTGTGCCGCTGAGTGCCCAGTGAGTCGGGTGAGCGGTGCAGGGCGATACTCCAGTGAGTCGGAGAGATGAGTTCGCAGTGTCCCACGGTGAGTCGGGGACGAGATGCTGCGAGGGTAGGTGCGTAGTGGCTGGCGTCTGCGTTGACGGGAGGAGATGTCCTTCAGAACCGTGTGCAGAAGTGCTCTGCCTAGACGCTGGTGAGGCCGTAGGGAAGAACCAAGCTGCACAACTTCGTTGCAGGCGATGGTGGTCCCTGATGAGGCTGAGGATGCTGGTTGGCTGCGACTTGATTACCGCTCAGCGGAGAAATGATGAATGAGAGGGATGGCGATACGGATGACGGTGCTGATCTGCTCCGTTAAGTGAAGATTACTTCCAATCACGTCGGGGTCACCACTTTAGGGAACAGAGAGTATAGTTCCCTAAGATCGGAAAAGGAGGATCCTCCGACCAGGCGAGGTGATCGTGCCTGGCGGGCTTTCTGCCCAACAGTTGTTCGTTGGGATTTTCTATCCGTGTTAAATCGAATGTAAACTTCGCATGTGCGATGTAGGATTTTTATGACGTCATCCGTTAGAATGTACCATGTGTCGCCACAGTTTAATTAAAGAATACTTTGACTTTAACTTCAATATGACTTTGAATTATCGGAGATTGTCAACTTGATAGGCGATATTTTATACGACAAGCAGACTGGTTATTTTTAGCATTAACAATTGGAGATTATTACAGCGATAATAAGTCTCAAATAGCATATCATCGATTAAAAAGTAGCTTAGTTAAATCGATTTTAATTCCTGTTATATATTTTCAATGTATAATGCAATCATAATTTTGCGTGTGAATTAAACAAGCTAGTAAAAAGTACACTGCATATATTTCATAAACAAAAGAAGAGCATAAATAGGTTTCCTCTCTTGAAAGTGGCCAGCTTGCCACAGATAATATAAACATAATATAATAATACTCTTTATATTGTTGGCAAAAGTTTGAAAATAGAATTTAATTTATAAAAAACCATTCGTGTTCGCTTTTTAATTTTTAATTTAGCACAATCCTTACCTGCAACAATAGTGAGCAGAGCAAACGTCGAAACCAATGGTAGACCTCCGGTTTCCATGGAAACGGATCTTGAGCGTCGCGATGATTCCGACGCCATGATGCCAAAAGACATTTGATACCAACAACTTCCTTGGTATTGTATCACATCGCGTTATTGTCATAACAATCCTCCTTCTGAGGTTAAATCATCTCAAAATTATGAATTTATAATACATATATATGATTCATCATTTATCCTAGGTTGAGTAAATTTAAAACAGTTATTTATTGTCGTTGAATTACAATGTTATTATGGTTTCATTCCGGCCACGCTCGGTAAATCTGGAACAAAAAAGACGAATCAAATGAGTGTACAGGATATTTATTTTTCCTTTTCGAGAGTACAGGATTCAAAGCGTTGTGAATATGAAGTACGTGGGGACAATGAGAACGGATTTTTTCGGTAATAAGCAGAGTGGAACGTTCTTCTTAATTTTTTTGTTTAGTAACGACTTCCGAATTGTTTCGACTTGGTTACTCTACAGAAAGGTGTTTTTTACGATTTAGTTTTTGACGATTAAGTAAATTTTAATTTCGGATTTCATATTTCATCAACTAAGTCCCTCATCTTAAGGAAATTCGGTTTGGTATAACGTACTTTCTTCCTATCAAATGTCATTTTATTAAATTCTTTACTTAAAACTTTTCTTTGGTCTTCTTCTCCCCTTCAATATATTTAAATTCATTATTCCTTGAAAATTATTGCTCTTCCTGCATAACCTTCTGTATTGGGTACTTACCCAATACAAAAGTTAAAAAGTAAATGGTTAGCTAGATACCTACTTAGGTATACCAAAACGGAACAGCTTTTATCGATTAAGGCGAGTAATTTGTTCGTTGGAAGCCAACAGTTTTTGGAGAAATTTAGTTTAACTAGAAAAAAACTAATTACATAATCATATTGTCAACGAAGACTTTCCCTAACAATCTCACGCTAAAATACATGTGAATAGAAATATAGTGTAAAACTAGAAAAACAATAATTATGTTTAAACAACACAAAAATTACTAGACCGATTTAATAAATCTTTCACTATTAACAAGGTGCATTATTTCTGAGTAACACAGACAGACAAATACTTGTCTAAGTAAATATTCTACACGGTCGAAGTTGCATACTGAAGCTTATAAATAAATAAACCAATATGACATAATATTACACACATAATAAAACAGTCCCTTACTAGCGTACATCATAACTTAGTAGATAGTTACGTCGTACTATTTCATTAAGAGCCATCTGGCCAATTTCTTGCCAACACTGACCTCCCCGCCCCCTACGAGTTGGGTCTCGACTTAGTAAAGTTGTAAAACATAGCTTATATAATATACCACTCTTGACCGTGAAAAAGTTTATAAGTAAACTAACTTGAAAACTTCTTAAAGGTAAAGCGACTTTATTGTTGAAATGAAAATAAAAAGTTTAAGACTATAGAAATATACTGCCAATAGAAAACTGTTGAAGGCAAACGTCAGTCACGGTGACCCCCCCCCCCCCCCCCCATAGCCTATAACATGTTAAATCACATACCCCCCCCTTTGGGCTTAAAAAATGTGGCTTATAATCGAATAGTTCTCAAGAACACAATATAGACATTGATGATGTCATGTGTATATGAAATTGTTTATTTGTAGACACACGCACGATCACGAGACAGAAAGAACAGAAAATCGTAGCGTAGGATGCAACGTTTTAAAAAAGGAGATAAAGAAAGAAAGAGAGCAAAACTATTTTATTGACGTGGTAAAAATTATACCAATTTCACGCCTGTTAATTTAATGAGTCTTATGTAACTCCGCAATTCTAGCGTCATCTATAATAATGTATCTTCTATTGTTTAAGTATAAATAAAAATTAATAAATTACTATTTGTTAGTCTCGTTAAAACTTGAAGGCAGCTGGACCGATTAGACCAGGGAAGGTTTAAAAAGTGAGAAAAAGTGTTTGAGATGATACGAAAATGTTTGGCGAATCAACTAACTAGTTACTGATAATTTTCACTCAAGGATACCGAATCTAGACATTGTTCTTAAGGCCTATAGTTCTGTAGTTACACTGCCAACCAATGAGGTCACGCCAGAAAAAGTTTTTATGAAACTAGACCATGCACTTTATTGCCTGCAAAAATAGCACAGTTCAAATTAAAAGATGCACTCTACCTTATAGACAAACAAGTTTTTAATTAATAAATAACTTGATATTTTTATAGAACAACTAGCAACGCTGCAGGCTTTTGTGCTATAGTACGAAAAACTTTTACGAGCTGTAATTTGAAAATATTACTTCAAAACAACTGAATGAATGTAAGTAATCGTTTAAATAATAATACTGTTCACTTATTTCGAGCAAAATATAATTGTGTATTCATTTATTTCTGTTTCAGTTCGATTGGTTTCAAATAGCTACCCTGTATAAAAAAGAGGATTGATATTGCACAAACTAAATAAAATAAATTGGAATTAAAATCTGAATGGAGAAAATAAAATTTTTATCACTAAATTATAATGTTATTTCAAAATAATTTTCGTAGCATTTAAGGAAAACAACAGTTTAGTATGCAGTATTCTTTATTCCCTTAACGAAAATTCAGACTTTGGAATTTAGAAATCGGAAAACAAAACGAAACATTGAGAACTCAATATTTGTTATAACAACCAACCAATGAAACCAACAAAATAGTGTTGCAGGTACCTGTTACAAAATAAAATCGTTCAAAATCCATAAAAATGAAAGCATAATATTTTTTACTTCATATCTGCAAGGAACAACGCAGGTGCAACACTGCAGTAACCTATACGTGCACATAGAGTGCGCACGTATGTATGTACGTAGAAACACATGGTAGTTTTTTATTAGAGCAGTTTCCGCGGCGCAGCGTGCACAAACTGAGATAAAACAGGAATGATTGCCGCTCTGTCGCGATATTGTTTCAAGTGTTTTGTTCCATTCTGCTGGCTCTTCAGTGCTTTTTATTCATCCACACCCGAACGCCGAACTGTCGCATAAAACTGGACGGCTGACGAAGCGTTTCTTCGTAAATATACTCGCTGATAAAAGCTGTAACTCCATGCATATACAGGCCGATCAAATATAAAATTTTGTCAAATATGTATGTAGCATTTACATCCACTTTCTTTACATATTTGTTTTACACAAAACGTCGTAGAACTTAAGAAACTGTTGCCTATTCGAAATACTATAAAGATTCTTGAGATTTCAAAGTAAAGTAGAGGAGACATTAAGTGAGGATAAGTATCGTTCGTGGGCAGGAATATAATAGTTCACTCCGGGGACTGTTCGGCTCCATCAATTGAAACATGCTCTCCCGTGCCGGCGACGGCGTCGGCGTCTTTGCCGTACGAACGAGCGTCGCGACAATAAACAATACAAACAACCCTGGCCTGCGTTTGACACCAGCCCGTTCGGAGTGGATTAGAGCGCTCTACAGGGAGTTCGGCAGCATTTAGGGAACGTAATAGCCTTCCGCCGTGACCTGTTTTAGTTGCGACAAATAGAGATTTACGGGATTGCTACCGAGGGATTTTCAAAGAAGACTATTCTCCGTAATAAAATTGAATGGTGTTTACTTTGCGGCTGCTTTATTCTCGTTGCCAATTCGACATTGACGCCGTTTAAAAACGATCGACTTTCAATGTCTGCGAGGTTTCATAACGACAGAATCATCCGGCTGTCAATCGATTCCAGCCTTCTCGCATTCGACAGACTGTCCGACAAAGTTTGAAACAATTTAATCCCGCTTGAAATATGCACGAAAAAATTTGTCTGAGCTAAAAGTGAGCGAGGGGAAACCATCTCACAGCCGCCGTTGAAATACATTATAATTTTCGGCGGATAAGGAAAAAAATGACAGTATCGGGGCCACAACGTAGCTCGCTGGCCACCGACATCATGGCACACAATTATGTAGCTACACCCGGAATTCGATAAACTTAATCGTATGAAAGCCCATATTGGGAGCGACTCGCCTCTAACCCTTGATATTACAGAGGCAAACCCCATTTACAGCATTCCGTTGCTTAATAATTTTACATCCGTCCACAAAGACGGCGCGTTGTGTTATCTCACGAGTGGCACGCCACCGATACGAGTGCTAACCAGCCCCTTACTCCTGGTCCTATTGTCATGTTTACATTGTCTATGCTCATTCCCGAATTCCGATTAACGCAAAGCTAAAATCGCTTTCACAATAATGTATGTATAATACTGTTACATCGGGCCGACACAAGTTACGTAGATAACAAATACAATTAGATAATTCCGCCTGCGCTTTGACTACACAATGAAGCTTTTCTGTTTTTATTTAAGTTTGCTCAAACTTTAAACTTTCTTTATGAATTCAAGTTTCGAAAAGTTTCCCTCTGCTTGGTACGGACACTAAGAAAAACTAGGATTATGGGTGAAAACAAAGAGCCCGATAAAAACTACTCGGTAAAACTTTCAAAACTGTGGTGTTAAGCAACCTTGGAAATATATATTAAACAAATGCTAGTTCTTTGTTCGTTACATAACTTAGATTATTGAGTAAATTAATTTTGTTATTTTCTCTTCCAGATTGTTCTTTCAGCGCAATGTGTGAGGATATTATGTAGAATACGGCCGGCGGCGGACAGTAAAACCTTTCTTGACAATTAATTTCACGGGCCATGTTCAACCTTTGCACTCCCCAGTTTCTTAATTCGCAATTAAAAAGTTAAATTGTCCGGTTAATTGCTGCCATTGTGGTGGACGACGTCTACTTATTATTCAGAATTGCTCTCTGAAAATTTGACGAAAAATTTGTCGAGAACCGGTTGCTAAATCACAATAAGTAATTAGCTTATCTGTCGGCGTCACGCGGGGTGCCGGGGTCTCACAGGGCGCGGGGTGCGGGGCGCCGAGTTCACGTCTTACGTTAAGCTCTCAGTATTAATCTCGACTCTGCTTAATAAACGAAGTGAATAACTTGGATTAAATAAATCACAGTATCCGAATTCTTGGTTGACTTTGTAACCGATGTTTGACTTGACTTGCTCGCCTTGAGGTGATCCTATATTGTATGAGAATGTATACAATCTGCTATCGTTAATTGTTGTAATTTTGTTGTTGAGTGGAACTTTTTATGTGGAATTCCGTCCTTGAATCTCGTTATTATCAATTACTCTTCTATTCGACAAAACCTCTTGTGTAAACCTCTTCTATTCGACAAAACCTCATATTATGCCTGAAACCACACACAAATATTCCTTTTGTATATATATATAAGTAACTAAAGACAGACAAC